CGGCACCGACGCGGTGCTGCGGGAGCGGCTGCGGCGGCACCAGGTGGGGCCGCGACGGGGCTGAGCCCAGCGGGAAGGGTCGGGCCTGGGCCTGGGTCTGAGGGGGTGATGAGGGCCCCGCGGGGAGGGGAGGGTCACGGGGGCTCCACGGGTGTCCCCACACGTCCCCGGGCCTCTCTGGCCCTTCCTGGCTCAGGGCTCCACGGCCGCCCCTGTCCTTCCTCAGAGGTCCCCGGGAGCCTCCGGGGGTCTGTGAGTATCCCTGGGTGTTCCCAGGGGTCTCTGCCTGTTCCTGGCCATCCTCGGCCATCCCCAGGGCTCAATGCGGGTCCCTGGGTGTCCCCAGTCATTTTTGGCCATCCCTAGGGCTCCACAGGTGTCCTCAAGTGTCTTTGGGGCTCCCTGGCCATCCTCGGACATCCCTAGGGCTCCACAGATGTCTCCAAGTGTCTCTGGGGCTCTCTGGGTGTCCCTACCTGTCCCTGGAGCTTCCTGGACACCCCCGGTCATCCTCGGACATCCCCACAGTTCTCTGGCTGTCCCCACATGTCTCCAAAGTTCCCAGGAGGCTCCTCAGCTGTCCCTGGGGCTCCCTGGGAGTCCCTGGTCATCTTTGGCCATCCCTAGGGCTCCACAGGTGTCCCCGAGTGTCTCTGGGGCTCCCTGACTGGCCCTGGCCATCCTTGGACATCCCTGAGGGTCCCCACGGGTCTCTGGGGCTCTCTGGATGTCCCTTGCCATTCTCCTTGGGCCTGTCTAGCTGTCCCTAAGTGTCCCTGGGTGTTATGGGGGCTCCCCAGGTGTTCCCAGGCCCCTCAGCCATCCCCAGGGCTCCCCCCTTGTGCCCAGGGCTCACCGTCCCCCTGTGTCCCCCCCACCTTGCAGGCAGCAGAAGGACCCCTGGGACACACCCCCAGCCCAGAGGAGGAGGAGGAGGAAGAGCGGCGGCGGCGGGAGCGGATGGCGGCCGCCCGGCGGTTAGCCCTGCGCCTGGCGGGGCTGCTGGGTGCTGGCACTGGTGTGGCACTCGTCTACATCTTCGGTGAGTCCTCAGCATCCCCAGTGTGTCCTGTCCCCCGTTCCCCCCCTCCCTGCTACAGGTGCCACCGTGCCCCCCCCTCACCTCCGCTCTCCCCCTCCTGCAGGCAGCAACGCGGTGGACGAGCACGGTGCCAAGGTGAGTGGTGCTCTGTGGCAGTTCCTGGACCCCTTTTTTTAGGCAGGCGGCTGCACCAATGTCCCCTCCCTGCCCTTTGGGGACATTTAGGGACATGGTGGGGGTTTAGCACCTTCCCTCTCTCCCTTCCCCATGTGCCCCCATCTGTTTCCTTTCACTGGTGTTTTCCTGTATTTTGGGGTCTTTGTGTTGGGTGGGGCATTGAGGCCCCATGTCCCTGAGGGGAGTGGCGTGTCCCCAAAGGGACCGACAATCCTTGTCACACCCCAGGGAGGCATTTTTGTCACCGCAAACCCCTTTTTTAGAGAACTTGGAGGTGATGAGGAGGGCTTTGATGTGCAGCACAGGGGGCTCCCTGGGGAGGGAGAGGTGCGAATTGCCCTGCCTGTCTCCGGTGACCAGCGGGGGGGGGGACATGGGGACATCAAACAGGGTGACAGGGGGAGCGTTGAACAGGTGACAATGACACCAGTGGGGTGACAGGGACATCAGTGGGACGATGAGGACATCAGTCGACAGAAGGAAACCGCACGGAAACGGCGTCACCTACCTGTGAATTGTCCCTGTCACCTCCTCTGTCCCTTCCCCCCTCCGTGACAGGGCCCCTCCGGTGCCACCACGTCCTTCTCACTGGCCCCGTCTTAACCCTCCGCCTCCCTCTTCTCCCCACAGATCCCCGATGAGTTCGATGGCGGTGAGTGACATCCCCAGACATCCCCGGCGGGGGGGGGGGGGGCGGGGGTGACAGCTACTGCGGGGGGGGACACGTCGCATCCTCAGGGTTGTTTGACACCTCGCTGTTGCGGCTGGAGGCTTTTACAATGTTTTTAACACCCCGCTGTTACCCAAAAGGGGCTTTTTTTAGGGTGTTTTGGTCTTTATCCTAGTGGGGGGGGGGGGGAATTGTTACCCCCCTTGGGGACAGCAGAGACCCCGGGTGACCCTCACCTGCACTGGCCTTGGCTCTGCAGACCCTGTGGGCATCCAGCAGCTCCGCAGGACCTACAAGTATTTCAAGGACTACAGGCAGGTGCGTGGGGAGCCATTTGGGGGGGGGTCCCCCATTTTGGGAGGGGGCTTCATGGCATCAGGGGTGGCCATCCCTGTCCTGAGAGCTTTTTCATTCTCCTGGGGAGCTTCGTCCCCATTTTGGGGACATGTTGGATCCCCATCCCCTCTTGGGGGACCGTGTCCTAGTGCTGGGAAATCACGTCCCTGTTTTGGGGTCCTCTGTCCCCGTTCTGGGCTCCTTGTCCCCACTGGGGGGGTCCTTGTCCCCACTTTGGGGTCTTTGTCACTAGGCAGGGGCTCCCATCGTCAGTTTGCAGGGGGGCTTCGTCCCCATCTGCCGGGGCGCTTCATCCCCACACTCCAGCCCTTGCCCCCATGCTGGTGCAGGGACCCTGTCCCTTTTTGGGGACTATTGTCCCCACACCGGTGGCTCATCCCCACGCTGGGGGGGGGGCTCCATCCCTCCCCCTGACTCCCCCCAGATGATCATCGAGCCCACCAGCCCCAAGCTGCTGCCGGACCCTCTGCGCGAACCCTACTACCAGCCCCCCTACACCCTTGTCATCGAGCTCACTGACGTCCTGCTGCACCCCGAGTGGTCGGTGAGTGTCCCCTGAGCCTTCCCGTGCCCACCCCCCCCCGCCCCCCCCCCGTGACACCTCCCTGTCCGTCCCCCCCGAAACCAGCTCGTCACTGGCTGGCGCTTCAAGAAGCGCCCAGGCATCGAGAGCCTCCTGCAGCAGCTTGCACCCCTCTACGAGATAGTTGTCTTCACCTCTGAAACTGGCATGGTGAGTGCGAGGTGGGGGGGGGGGGGGGCGTGGCCACCCTAGGAGGTGACAGGGCCACCACGGGGTGCCCCCCACCCTCTCACCCTCTCTATTACCCCCCCACAGACCGCCTTCCCCCTCATTGACAGCGTGGACCCCCACGGCTTCATCTCCTACCGTCTCTTCCGTGATGCCACCCGCTACATGGATGGGCACCACGTCAAGGTGGTGTGACAGGGAAGGGGGACAGTCACTTCAGTGACCCCCCCTGTCCTTCGCCAACCCTCTCTGTTCCCCCCCGCCCCAGGACATCTCCTGCCTCAACAGAGACCCGGCAAAGGTGGTGGTGGTGGATTGCCGGAGAGAAGCCTTCTGCCTACAGCCCTACAATGGGCTGGCGCTGCCCCGCTGGGATGGCAGCTCCGACGACCGCGCGCTCTACGACCTCACCGCTTTCCTCAAAAGTGGGTAAACGCATCCGAGAACATCCCTGACCCCCCTCCCCCCTCCCTCTGCAAACCCGTCCATCTGTCCCTGCAGCTATTGCCCTCAGTGGGGTGGAGGACGTCCGGACGGTGCTGGAGAATTACGCGCTGGAGGAGGATCCGCTGGCGGCTTTTAAACGACGCCGGTCGCAGCTGGAGGAGGTGGGGACGCGCGAGGGGTGGGGGGATGTGACATGGCAGGGGGGTGGCAGCACCTAATTGCCTGTAACGGCTGTTTTTCGCCCCGAATTGGGGGTGCAGGAGGAGCAGCAGCGCCTGGCTGAGCTGGCGCAGGGCAAGAAGCCGACGGGGCTTTTCCTGGGTGCCCTGGCCGGCCGCCTCTGGCCACGCTCCAAGCAGCAGTGATGTCATCAGGACAGTGCCGTGATGTCATCAGGACAGTGCCGTGATGTCAGCGGTGCAAGGCGGGGTGGGGGGGACACCCCATTCACCAGCGCCGTGGTAGCAGGGGGTGATGCGTCACCCAGACCCGGACGATGCGGTCGGAGGCGTCGGTGGTCCCGTGGCGGCTGGCGGGGGGGGGGGGGCCGGGCGTGGCCCCGCTTTTGGGGGGGGTTGGAGGGTTTTGGAGGGGGCTTGACCCCAGTGGGGATGAATAAAGGGTGACATGGAGCTGCGGGTGCACTGTGCTGCTTGGGGGGGACACGGAGCGGCCCCCCCCCCCCGGGGCTGGGGCAGGATTGGGCCC